CCAGGAGGAGCTGTGTAGTGTATTTTAATTAGAGTGAGAGTAAATTACATCGGACTATGAGAACCCGACTTTTTCACAACTGCTTGGGGAAAATAGAAAGACTAGCATTTTCAATTTAAGGTTTAGTTAGATAATGCCTGTTGGTGCCAGTAGATTACAGAGTGGATATTAAATCCTCCAGGATTTGCAATGGGAAAGTACTCACAGAATCCTTAAGCAGGCAGGAGAGCATGGCTATGGAGCTATCGTCCCCTGGAGGTCCTGAGTGGAAAGAGAAAATGTGAAGTAAATCCTTCCTTTGAAGGAGGCTCCACATAAAGAGCACACATATGCAGGCTGTGGCCTTTAAAGGTTTCCCCGTTAAGAAGCTTTCTTCCTTCTGACAGCAGCCAAATGGCATGTGAAAAGGTAATGGGGTCTGTCAAACTGCTGGAGCAGGGAAACGCAAGGCTGGACTCCTGAGTGCTAATGCCCTTGCCATGGGGTTTGGGACAGGTCTCTCCCAAAGATCCCACAAAAAGACCTTCTGTGCATGCTGTCCTAAGGAGCCTGAGTTGCAGGGACTCAAAAGCAGCTCACAAGGAACTGAGCTGAGCTGTTTAATAAAACCAGTGCAAATTGATGCTGCTGATGCAGGCAGGGGCTGATGAGCAGCTCCTGACAGCAGCAAAGCAGACACACTTCCAGAGACTCGGGATCTGTTGGCTTATTTAGCTCCAGCTTCAACAGGGGCTGGGGCCACCTAGGACTTGTCAAGGTTTTCCTAAAGCTCATCAAAATCAGGCTAACCAGGTTTAGGGTACCAGCTATAGGAAGATTGTCCAACACTGCGATCCAAGGGAGACTGGCTAAGACTGTTGTAAAGCATCTGTATTAGGCCAGCCAATAGGTGAGGCAGAGCTTGATGAAATCTGCCTTAAATCCCCCTTGAAACACAGAGTTCAGCATCAGCAGCACAGGAGAAGCTGCTCCCTTTGGTCTGTGCCTGTGTCTCCTGGTGAGGCCATATTTGCTTACTTTCCCAGGGAGAAAGTGTTGAAACCTCATATTTCCAAGCCACTGAAGATCTTGTAATAACGAGTGATAGAAAGGGCAAAACGTTTATCCTTCATTACTGCAACATGCAGGAAGCCTTGTCTGACAGTGCGTAGCAACTATGCCAGCCAGGACTAAATATATGATTAATGGAAGTATGTAAGATTACTAGTTTAAGTGCAGTAAAATGTGCAAATTAATTACCACAGCTATCCATGCATGTTTTATCTGGCTTAAAAGGTTTTTATTTCCCAGCTTAAGGAAAACATTAACCTAAAAGGGGTTTCCTTGCAATTCTTCCTGTTTAGAATTACTTAAAAAATTCTTTCTATTGAGTTATTTAAGAGTTGTTTCAAAATCCAAGTTAGAGGATTTTTAGCTGGGATGAAAAGGAGCATATTGAACCAGGTTTGTATTTATAGTTGTTTTATGGATGGGTGTCTGTATCGAGACATGGACCTCGCTTGTACTGGGCAGTAGAGTGTTTTCTACCTGTCAGCCTGTGAGCTATGGTGAGCTGGTCCAGTGCATCACGGTCTGGAGGAAATGCTTTGTAAAGCTGCATCATTTCAAGGTTTGTAGCCTGAAAAGCTCCAAGTCTAAAGATCAGATCCTTAGCAATGAGAATTCAAACGCTATCGTGCTCTTTGATTGAACATCCCAATAGTTTTATTAAGAACATGTCCCTGTATTCTACGCTTGCTAATTAGGAAATTCAAAACCTTTATTTCTGTGTTATCTTTGTGCAAGAGAGTGGCAAATTTATCTCATTAAAATACTGCAAAACCTAAAAGGTTCACAAGCAATTAGATTTTATTATTATTGTTTATGCCCCTGAAGAATTGTTCGTTTAAAAACTTTATGGTTGATATGTACAAAGATAAAACAGTTGCCTGTCTTGCCGTGGTGACAGAACTGATTGAGTGAGCTGAATGGGTGATTAGTGAGGATCAGCTTTTGGAGCTACTTGCTTTGCTTCTTCACTGACTGCTGAAGCCAATTGACATCCAAGAAGGGGGTCTGTCCCCGTGTTATCTACGTTTCCCTTGGACTAGCACAGATCACACATCGTTCTAGTTCAGAAGCCCGCAGTTACAGATAGCCTAGTAAAATTCAGCATGAGCTTGCTCTTATCTGCTTGATAGTCAGTGTCAGTCCTTTTTGATTACCAGAAGGCTGTGATTACAGGCAGGTAGCCCATTGCACAGGACCATGCCCTGCATCTCGGCAGCACGGCAGCAGAGCCAGGCTCTGAAGCACTGTGGCTCACTGAGACCGGCCGCCTTGGCCCCTACAAATTGCTGAGGGTTAAAGAGGTTTCATCAGCATCCAGGCCCTCTAAAGAGGTGTCACAGCTGCTCACTTCTCCCTCTGAGTCACACTGACTGTACATTTTGTCACCGAGCCCAGCTTTAGGTGTCCAGGCATCCTCCATCCTTCTGCCTGGACCAGAGGGACCCATCACTCCCACCCCTTTTCCCAGAGATCTCATTGGGATGGAGAGCTCATGCCTGACCCCCGAGCTGGGCGTGCAGCAATGCTGAGCTCAGGCCACACTTCCAGGCTCTGAAGTTCATTATGTGTGTCTGGGGCTGCTCTGACTAGACTCCCTAAGCAGGCATCCAGCCCTGCAGCAGCGAGGTTCATTACTCCATCCCCATGCCACCGGCACAGCCAGTCCTGCTCACTGCCTCTGACTGCTCAGGAGATGAGCTCCATTATCCGTTCTAGTGTTGCAGAGTCCAGTAGTGCAGAGCGTGCTTGTAACTTGCTCTTCTCATGCTTAAATGGTGGAACTGAGACGTTTGCAGCAATTTCAGGACAGGAAGAAGATTTCTCTTTGATTGCTTTTTAATCACAGTAATAACAGTAACAGAGGCAGTGAGTGGAATTGATGGGAAAGAGCTGAGCTCTGTTCCCTGGTAACTCCCATGTGGGGTAAACAAGGAGGATTTACTGGCTTCTCGAGTGAATTGGTAGTATCCTTGCTCTTTGTCAATGATTGTCAGCAATGTCTGGGGAGAAAGTGCTGGTATGTGGTACCTGGGAGAAGAAATATGCCAGGCATCCTCTGGAATGTGTATCTAGGGTATATGAATAAACCTTGCCTGCCTCTGTTCTTATCCCCACAGATTCACATGCGCAATTGCTCTTTTAAGTGGCTGTCAGGGCTACATCTATGCATGTCTGGCCCTGAACCCACATCTTGAGCATCCCGCAAGAGATTTATTCTTTTCTTCAGAGACAAGAGAAGCCGTGATACAGGCAAGCAATGTGAGGTGTGCAGAAACGGAGGTCTGGTTCTCCACAAGGATTCAAGGGGATATAGGGCCCCAGTGGTGCCCATAACCAACCTCTCAGGGAGACTCAGGTTCAGGCTGGGGCAAAACAGCACCTCAGCCTGTCTCCTCTTAGCCTGGTCTTTTCCAAGCTGATTTCGGCCAGCACATGCATGAGCAAGAGCTTTCCTCAGTGTGAACTGGTGAGGTTTAACTCTGGCAGGGGAGAGGACTTGTTTGGGAAATGACCTAGCTGGGAATATCTGCAGGGTAGTCTCAAAGGATTATACTCCAATTGCATCCATCAGTCTGACCTTCAAGGATGTGGGATGGTTTGACATGACCTTGACTCATCCATAAGGCTGTGAAAAGAAAGCCTCTAGGAAAACGGGTTCTCCAAACCCTTTACTCGCCTAAAGAGGCTCTTGAAGGGGCTGAACTTCACTGAGGCTCTTGCAAGCACACAAACACCAAAGACAGACCTCATCCCCATTGGTTTTGGTCAGACATGGAGCTTTCTCCTTTATTTCTGCAGTATGTTGCACACGTGAAGGGCCTCACTTACATCAGCGCAGTCGTGTCCTGTCTGAGGAGGTGGAATTCCTCTTGCTTTGCTGATCAAGACAAACACGATAAAAACAGTTCATGCACAATACACCTCGAAGCCACGCTGTTGGTTCCCTAGTGAGGTACAGTGGGGCTGGAAGGGGGTTCCGGCATCTTCCCAGGCTACACAAATAGGGAGCAGCTCCATTCCTGTTGCTGGAATGTGCCGGTGTGGAAAGTCATGTGTGTATGGTCTGAGTGAGGCCCTTGAAGTGAGGAGAGGACAGGGAGCAAACAGGCTGTAGGGATGGGGCAGTGGGACAAGGGGACACTCTTCCGTTTGAGTGCTGGGCGAGGAGCAGTGCAGCTCCCAGCTGGCACTGCAAAAAGCCTTCTATAGGGCAGGAAAGAAGGGGTGGACTTTAATATCCAGGTTTTGGAAGAGGAGGGAAGTATCACACCCACGTTTTGGGAAATGAAAGGAGGCGGTAGAAGGTTTCACTGGGACATAAGGGACACAAGTGGTTGTTGGATGCCTGCTCAGGGGCAAAACAAGCAGTGAGATCTGGGGAAGGACTTATTTTATCCTTTCACACACATACTCAAACCCTTCAGTGTATTTCCTAGCAACTCCATCACAGTTTCCTTTTCTTCACATCCTTCCTTGCCATGCTATCCCCTTCCCCTCTTGTCATTTAGGAACAAAATGGTGAGAGCCATTTCAGGTATTCTGGAGCAACCAGCTTTCTCTGAGGTGTTGCATTAAAAAGCACTATCTTTGCCCAGCAAGAAAGTCATCTTCAGAGAGTGAATAGGTGTGACCTCTCAGCAAGGTATTGCAAGCATTTGGGGGTAGGAAAGGTGGGGGGAAGCCATTCCAAAAACTGCTTGAACAGAGCAAACCATGAAAAGTAGCTGTTAGGGCTTGTTTCTCTGGCAACTGCTCATCACTGTGTGAGGGCTCTGATCCTGCAATGGGCCATCTGCTCCCAGTGCCTGGCCTAGGGAGGTTTCTACACAGCATGGACCGAACCTCTCAGCTTTGTCCAAGGGGAAGGAAAATAATCTCGGTGAGATCATGGAAAGCTTAACCAGCCCCGGCTGGTTTGCAGGCTGGGTGCTGCTGTGGTTTGTCTATCCTGAGCAAAAAGCTGTGGTACTAATTCTCATTGCCCATTGCAGAAAAAAAAACAAAAATCCAAAAACAAGCCCTGGACCACAATGTATTAATCAATTTTGGTTTAGGGGAATTAAAAAAAAAGCCAACACGAAACGAAAAAGCACCCACCACCTATGGCATCTAATCAATCTTATGTTAGTAGGATGGATTTTCTTTTTTATCCCTGAATTTGAAAAGGTGGCTGGGGGGGTACTTTAATGGGATAGAGAGCCTCTCTGCCCTCCACCAGTAGCTGGCCTTGGGCTGTAGCAGCTCTGACTGGGTCCTGCTGGATGGCTTTTTGTAGGCAGCAAGAGCTGAGCTCAGCTGATGAAGGGCTCTGAGGAAGTGTGCTGCCATTGGCATGGGCTGGAGGGGGAGTTTGCAGGGGTCTTGGGGAGGTGCAGCACTGGACCTGATGCCAGTGAGAGCTGTTTCCCTGTTTCTGAGTGACAGGCTAAAGGGGGAAAGGGAAGAGCTTTAGCCTGTCCCAGTGGCTGGCTGGGGCCTCTTCATTCCAGGAAGACCTTTGGGCCCCCCCAGCATAGGACCTTCATCAGAACTTAATGGCTATGGTCATATAAACACGCTTAGGACAAGGGGACAACTGGTACAATAGAGTTGGAGGGGTTGCTACCCAAGCATGCATGCTTCCCAGGAGAAGCAGAGCAGCTTGCTCTGCAGAAGCAAAAGGAAGGGCATTGACAGAGACGGAATAAGGAGGTGACAGCAGAGGATGGGGTTACGTTGTTAAGGCCTGCGGAGCTTTCAAGGCGATTAGGTGATTTGGAAAAAGTCCTTGTTTCCTCTAGTAAAGGCTATTATTCCCTTCTGCACCTTCCCTCTCCCTGGCAGAGATTAGAGCAGTAAGGTTAATATAGTAGCAGGTACATCCATGAAAATCCGCAGCTGAGTCTTCACTCCAAGTGCTGCCAGCTCTTCCCTAAATCTTCAGGACTCAAGGTGCCTCGTTGGAAGTGGCTCCATTGCCTTTGTTGACGTAAAAGGGGCGGTAATGTGACTGTAATGGAGAATTTGGGGCATGTGAGTTTGACCTACCTTCTTTTTCTGACCACCTATTCTTCACCCTCCTAAGTAGCCCAACCATACATAGCTTAACACCTTCAGTCTTTTCACTTGCAGAGCATCACTGCCTCATTTGACTACTGGAGGTGCTGAAGTGATCAAATGCAAGTGATGTTGCTTTTTGATTTATACACATGCTTTGCATGGACCTCATTCCTGAGCCAAATGAGTCTGTGCATCGTATAAAATCTCAGACTGTGACTCACGGCTTGATGAGAGGCTTCTCGGAGAAGAGGAATGTCACCTTTATTTTTATGCTTCTGTCAGTGTCTTTTAATTGCTCACTAACCTGAGAACTCTCGGGAGGTTTCACATTTAAAGCCATGCACAGTTATGTGAGCAATCAACTAAGTCGCATGGTATTTATTCGTGCCCAAACTCTTGTGCATGGAAACCCTCACACAATGCTGTATTGTGTATTCACACCGGCACATGTTGCAGGGCCCAGTACAGAACGCTTGTGTAAAGGGAGAGATAGCGGCAGAGCCTAAAGCAATTGCCATTTGCTGTCTTTCTAGCTCTGTTTACTGTAGTCCCGAATATCTCTTCTCATCAGGACCTACCCCTGGAATTCCATTCTTATCTGCACCATTACTAATAAGCAAAGTTGTGCTGCACAGCTTAGTGTTGGCTTGGGATGATCACAAAACACAAAAGCCCATTAATTGATTGTGGTACCTGGTTGCACTGTTCCAGGCAAAATCTCTAGCCTGGATGAGAATACGCTTACACTGGTGAAATGGTGCCCACGGTAAACAGGAACAGCTGTGGTTTTGTAATGTCTTATCTGTCTTAGGTTTGACCCACTGCCCAGACCTTGCTTACAGAAGGTGGGAGAGAACTCACAGGAACATTCTGTGCAATGCTGTAGTTAATATCGGGCATGGCAGGAGGCTGGAAGCAAGGGCAGAGCAAACCCAGCCCAACCCATCTTCCTGCTCAGTGCTGACTCCCCGTACCTCGTGCTCAATGTTCCTTTTTGTTGAAGCTCTTTTCATTTTATGGCTTTAATTTCCAATATAATTAAGATATGAAAGAGGGAGGCTTCATTTTAAAGGACTCCCTGTGGGTTAAAAAGACATTCCTCCTTAAACAGTATAGTCCTTTGTGAAAATTCATGTTTACAGACACTTTCCGAATGTGTATTACTTAAATACATATTTAAGACTCTTTAAAAGGTCGATTATTGGCCCAATAGACCATAAAAGCTCCTGCAGAGCTCCTGCAGTCCAGAGCATGTATTTCTATTTTGGGACTTTTTTTAATGCTTATATTTATCAAGTCAATTGTTAAGTTCAGGGCTATCTGGTGAATATAGACTATAAAACTAAAATAACCACCACAAGTGTATGCATGAGAGAGAAAGGGAGAAAGAAAAAGCCTGATGACTTGATGTGGCAGAAGTTATCCAGGCTGTCTCTGTGGGGATTAAGGAAAGCATGGGTTGTGTTCATGAAGCACAGCATGCTGCCTGTCATGCACCAGGATGCTTATCGCTAGGACCACCCTACTCGCATCCACCAGTGCTATAGAGACTTCACTTTCCTGACCAGACTTCCCTGTATACCACCACCATTAGGAAGCAGGTTGGTATCTAAAATCACTGGGAAGATCCTCCACCTGAGCACACACATGATGAAGCAGATGATGTTTTAGAAAGGCAGTGATCAAAACACAAGACAGAAGACACTACAAAACCTTGCTGTTCCTAGGAGATACATTTTGCTGTAGCACATCCAGAGACTCAAGGCTGGATTTTGTGAAACAGTCTACCCAGGTACATCCCTTTCACAGGCATTCATCCCCTGGTAGGGCCTTGAGAAGCTAGTACAGACTAAACCTCAGTCCAGCCACTTTCTAACTGTTACGTGTTTCCTCTGCTTTCTTCCTTCAGTGTGGGAATGCTTTCAGTTCTTGACCCTCTGCTTCTTACAAGCCTTATTTCCAGGGAACAGTAACAGTAAATAATCTTTCACAAATGTAGAATCAGAATTCAAAACACAGATTTCATCTGTGGAGACGGGGGGCAAAAGCTTGAAAATCTCAGTTGAGGTCATGCAAGATCTTAATGCAGCACGGTGTGAATGGACATTAAGAAAAATAGATGAACTTTGTGTTTCTGTGGCTATGCATTAACTGCTTGTTAACCTTGTATGTTTGAGATTATAAGACCTAAAATACCACTATTCTCTGCCCCTGATAATGCACTGTTACGAGTGACTTACAGATGTTCTAGTGATTTATGGTCATAGTCTGACCCCTCAGTTTTGATATCGCATCTGTGCACTGTAGGATGTAACTAGCAAGATACCCTTATATGGTGTCACTTTCACAATCTGTGCTTTCTAGATGTCATGGACCAAGGGTATAAGGTATCCCTGCGGGGAGGAAAAGTACTACAGATTGCAGCATGTGTGCTATAGTATTTCTATAGCTTCTACAAGCCTGGATCAGATTTTAGACCAGGGCAAAATACCTTCAATACGTCATTTTGAAGTATAGGTTATTCCTACAACCCAGAGCTGTGGTGGCAGTGGTGTTAACCTGCATCCCTCTGCGGATGCAGTTAACCACAGGGGAAAAATAATAGAAGCTGTGCCTTGGAGCTTTCACATTCCCATCTCCAAAGAACCCAAGCCCTGGTCTCTTAAGTCTCAGGTATCCCTAAAGCAGATAGTTGTCTTGCTGAAGCTGCGCACATGCTTTCACACCAAGGGTATATTTCTTACCAAGACAGACTGCTTAGAGGATTTCCATGTCTGTGGTGTCACCTTTGCAGACTGATGTCTCACTATTGAAGGATAAGCTGTGACAACACAAAACAACCTGTTATAGATCAGTCCCTGCCACCATCCCCGTCTCCCCTTGCGAGCGTCAAGATGAGTAGCAGGACTGGAAGTGCCACGTAATTAGTATTGCATTGCTTAACATTGAAATGCAGCCATTTCTGGGGTGTGGGACGCAGCAGCCATCAGACAGATCTCTATTCCACCACCCAATCAGTTAGGAAGAGGAAGCAAAGAAGGTCTGCCTAATTAAACTGTCTGAGGAGTGCAGAGAGGTGGAATGCAATCAGTCCAGTTAAATTTAGGCCAAGTCCCGAGCTAAGCATTCTGACTCTTGCAAAGAACACTAGAGGCTATTTAATTACCGCAAGGATCCAAGGCTTGGGTTTCATGTCAGAAATTAATGACAGTCCCTCTGGCAGTGTGATAAGTCCTAACCCTCTTCTACCACAGCAGCTCCATTCTGATTCAAAAATAACACCAGCTCTGCTGAATCACAACCGGTTCCAGCCCTATCAGACAATGGCCTTTCCCCACCATCTCCCATTCAGAGATTAATCAGACCTGGCTCTGCTTGGCAGGTGCTGATGCTCTTGGATTCCACCTCTGGTGCCCTTGAACTAGTGAGTAGTGAAAAGAGGATTATGGGATGGTGAATGGGGGATTCTGGTTCAGATGAAGGAGAACGGGCAGATACTGCACATTGTTTTAAAGGTTGTGCTTAGTGGCTATTATTCTTTCAGGATGATAGCTCTTTTAAAACCCTGATGAAGCAAAAGGGGTAAATGCCCACAAGCATCGCCTCCCATTGTATTTCCCTGGTCCCTGTGCCTCTAAAATCACCTAAAATTCTCATCTTTACCCATTGCACACAAAATTTAAGACCACTTCAGCTAGATATCACTAGATATAACTTTTTAATGTTTTTTAACACTCTTTAACAAACTCCTGTTACCCTGGCTCAGCAGAGTAAGTTGCTCGTGTGAACATGTGTGTGTATCTAAGAGATTGACAGTCAGGACAGGAGATATGGGCTAGGTGCAGGACTGCTCCAGGCCTTCTCTGGGGGAGCAAGAAGAGGATTAAATGTCTTATCACCTAAAAAAGGGCAAGAAGGAAGGGATAAAATACCAAATGCCTAGTACCGGTCTTAGTGAAGAGGCTCCCATCAGACTGTTTGCTGAAGTCACCAGGCGGATTCTGTCCCACCGAGGAGAATTGAAAAGGCAGCTTAGTACCATTGCCGACTGGAAGATAGAAGAGGTTGTGTTAGTCCATGGTGTTGCACGCTGCACTGGGGAAGCCTAAGCAATTCAAAACACACCCTGTAAAACTACCTTCAACTGGCTTGGGGGAAATGGGAACTAACAGCTTTGTCCCTTTTCTCTTGGTAAGAAAAGGCAGATGAGTGCAGTCAGTTGTGGGGTCCTAGTGTACACAGTGTGCAAGTGTGAATTGATCCCAGTGCTCCAGACAGGCAGGGAAGAGCCTTTCTCTTGAGAGACCCAGAGTGCAGGTGTGACTGAAGAGCAGCAGCTCCCTGGCAGGCAAACTGCATCTCCAGAGACAGGAGTAACAAGGCAAAACCGTGTAACTGCCAAAGCTCCCTTGCCTCCAAGCAGTTGAGGCTTTATTCAAAGCCCATAGAAATTAAAGCAAGGCTTCCCCTCGTTGGGGTCAGGCCCCGGCTGCCCGAATGAATCTGAGAGCAAGGATGATGAGAGGGAAACAGCCCTGCCTGTGGCGTGAAAAGCAGGAACAACTTAGGTGTGGTTGTGAGTCACCAGAGCTACCCCAGGTAGAGCGGGCATGGATGCTTGTGGGCTGCCTCTGAATGAAAGGCAAGGCAGGACCCTCTGAGCATGAACAAAGCAAAGAAAGAAAATACAGGCAAGGAAAAGGAAGGTGGGAATCTGGGAAGAAAAGGCATGACTCGCAGCTGCTGGGGTTCTTGATACACTAGCTCAAAGCATCCCCTCCTCATCGTGCTGGATGCTGTACAGTCAGCTTTGGGCAGGCTCTTATAAGCTAAGCAAAAGGTGTATGTTTGATGGAGAAGAGCTGCCTTGTGCTCCTGAGACTGGCTGTGGGTGCTTGGAATCCACCACATCCTCCACTGGTTGCTTTGGATGATGCTGGCACTCCTGTTGATGGCACTTGGTGAGGAATCTCAGGATCTTTACAGATTGGCATCTGTATTTTCCATCTTCTTCTTTCACTGTCTGAACAGTGAGGACAGGGATGCCTTTCCCTCCTGTATACGTTGGATCTAGAGCAGTGAGATCCTGAGTTTGGGTCTATGCAGACAGTGCTGATAACCCAGCTAAGAGATGGATCTGTGAGACAGTGAGTGACAGATGACAGGACAGCTGAGAGGGGAAGCAGAGGTTTGGTTAGGCAGCTAGAAAGCTGTGGCACGGGGGGTTAGATCCTTTCACACTCAAGTCGGAATTACCCGTACCAAGTGTTTCCTCAGTCGCTTGGAAGGAGGAAAATTCCCATGATCGTGGGTTGAAACTGGCTGTAAAACAAGAGCATCCAGTTCAGCAGTTGGCTCCTGATGAGCTGGCTCTCAAAGGCCTGTGCCTGGCACTGCTCTATGGAACAGTCCCCACCAGTCTGGAAAGCAGCCCCAAACCAGAAATCTGGGTCCATGGAGGAGAGAAAAGCCTGGTCTTTTTTTCTCTGGGTTCTAGGGAATGATGGACAGCCTTCTCATTTAGAGAACAAAGCACTCTAACCACCACGGAACTGTCTTTAGCTGCACTAGATTGCCAACTCAGGTTTGTCTACTCAACATGACTCTTCTGCAAAGAGTCGTGCAGGCAGAGGCTGGGGTTTGGAGCTCAAAGAGACACAAGAGAGGAACATTTCCTGCTCCAGCACACATTGTCTCAGCCACTCTAGGGTTTCACTAACGCATCATCCTGTGATGGAGACTAGCGCTGTTGTACCCCTTTAGTGAGACACTGGACTCCCAGGAGATGGAAGAGGTGAGTACTCGGAGCTGTTATGCTGCCATCCTGTGGCCTGTTTCCTATATAAGCAATGCTCCTGTTTAAGCAGTTGGCTCTCCCTCTGTGGGCCCGAATCCCTTCCACTCTTCATTCAAAGACTTCCAAAGGCACGAGGTGATCTTTCCAACCTCCTCCTGGCTCTGGCCGAGCTGTTTGCCACATCAGGAGAAGAAAGCTTAGTGGAGAGGACAGAAAGGAGTGCCGAGCAATGGAACAGATTGTTCCTCTGTCTTTTAGGCAGCATTTGAAATCTTTTATGTCTCCCCTCTGCCTCATTAGGACACCCTGCAAGCGGATGCTCTGTGATACTGTTTTTAATGACTAGGACAGTAAAGTCTCCTTGAATTTAAGCAGGGCTTAAAAAACCCTATAGGTTCAACTCAAATCCAAGCAGTTTCTTAGTGTGGGCATCTGTGGTTAGCACAGAGCACAGCTTGGGGAGCCTTCCTCAATGCAGCCAACACGCTTGCCACTGTGGCTTCAGGCAGGATTTGCAGTGATCCAACCTAGCGAGAAAAAGGGTGTGTTACAAAGCTATCATGAAATATTCAAGGATATTGTGTACTGTGCAATGCAAAGGGTGGTCCTCTGTTTCTTAAAATCCCGTTTTATGGAATTCCTCAGAAAAGATGCAATGGGAGGCATTGCTGGACTTCTACATGACACATAGTGCACAGAAATCTCCAGAGAGTTAAATGATTATGGGTACATCACATTATTCATCAGATAATCCTTTGCTAGGCAGCATGCAAGCTAAATGGATCATGTCTCCTGTTTGCCTACTGATTCAGTCCATTCCCAAGCACCCCATCAGTGTGGTTTCAGCAGCTGGCTCCTTTCTGTCATGCCTGAGTCCTCATCCTGGCAAGAGAACCCTGTGCTATTCAAACCCCATTTCAGCAGAGATTGTGCTTAGGTTTTGTTTTTGATGAAGTGACTTTGTTGGTAGAAAACATAGAATGAGGAGTTTTGGAAGGCAACCTGTCTGTGCCCTGAGGAAAAGGTAGATGTGCATAGGCAGAAGTGCTCCCCCACTATGTGTATACTCAAAAACCCATTGCTGGACCAGTGGCCCACTGGACTGCAAGCTGCTGTACACTACGCTCTAGCTGACTGCATCCAGCAAGTGTCCCCACTGGCTCCAATAAAGAGCGTTAAATAAGATACCTTCTATCTAGCACTTCCTGTTCATCCCTCCTTTCTCTAGGCACATCCTTCAGGAAGCTGGGATGCTGGATCCCAGCTGGGAGCCAGTAAGCCCCTGCTCCTAGGTCTTAGCAATTAATTATCCAGGGAGGAAAAGAAGGAAGTCCCTGCTCTGATCTGGAGCAGTGAGCAGCTAGGCTATGCCATGCAGTGGCACTGTCACAAATTGGTTTTCCTTTTGCCATGTCAGGTTTCACACACGTGGGAGCAGTGATGGCAAAATAGCATTGTCTACTGTGTTCCTCCCATCATACCCTGCCACACTGTTCTAATGCACGATGGGCTGTTTCCACCTGAACCTGAAGTTGGGTGGAGATGGGTTCAGACCATGCAATTTTAGATCTAACTTACCGCCAATCCCTTCAGGTTGAAAACGGTTTTGGATGCACGGCTGAGCCTGTGGTCTCTCCCGAGCATCTGCAGCTCCACTTAGCAGAACATGTGTTTTCCTGACAGCACGGGGCTTGTAAAGCTCTGAAGCAGCTGGGGCAGCACAGCAGCTATAACCATCCGGGCAGTGTTTGGAGACAGGCTCCATGCAAAACAAACCCACCACTGGCAAAATGCCCCCCTGCAGTCTCTGATGAGGAGCCTGTCTCCTAACTTGGGGAGCCTGCAGGAACCAGTCCAGCTAAAGTCTTGCTGATGCTCAACTGGGAATGCTGCCTCCGCTCCAAAGGACATCCTCATCCCCATGGCGCCAGGCAGGGCTGCCAGAGAGCTGCCAGGCATGGGCTGGGAACAGTGGAGAAGGGCAAAGCGGAAAATACAGACAAAGGGCTCAGTGTTGGGATCTGGGTTATCCCCATGGAACCCTAACAAGAGGGCGGGCAACGCTGCGCTCCAAATGTGCCTTCAGGGGAGTGCCAGGGCTAACTGCTGGCATATCCCTTCACACTGCCCACCAGCTTTGCAGAACAGCAGCTGTAAACACCTGGCAAATCCAGGTCTAGAGCCCAGAGGAAATCTGGTTACTTATTTTGTGCTACCCTTCCTGGTTTTGTGTTTCTAAAGGCATTGCCTTGCTTAGGCTTTGAGCACTCACTGCTTCCCAGTCTGGAGGAAGCCAGGCCACCATTAGGGTGCCATACCTTTGGGAGACAGGAACATGGAAAATCTCTTCAAGTTGTCAGGCTGGTTCCACTCATAGTTATTCATCATGTACCGGTGGTCACCTGGAGAAGCAGAGGAGGGCATGAGCTGGAGGCGGCTCTTGAGTGATCTTGATATAGGAACGGGAATAGGGGGAAGGGGATAACAGATTGGAATTGCTTCTTCAAGTGCTGCAGGAGAGACGGTTCTGCTCTTCGAAAACAACTTTATCTGTTATTTCTTAATACCTCTGTGGGGCTATTTGGCTGGGAGGTAAAGCAGTGCTGTAGCTGCCCAGAGGTCCAAGCTGGGAGCAAGGAGAAAGCTCCCTCAGAGCCATAGCATAGCTGAAGCATTTGGCCATTCAGTAGGTACACTATCTCCTGAAAATCCATAGGGAGATTTGAGGGTGAGGCATTTTCCTACCAAAATACTGCCGTGTGGCTAAAACTGCATCCCACTTCAAAAGCAGTGGTTTGGCTTCTTTTATGTGTTTAACCTACGCATAGTGCTGGCTTCCAACCAGCAGATCTTGAACTGCAAGTGCTACAAAGCTCAAGAAAATCAGTGTCAGGAGAGCTCAGTTGCTTTCTTCAGTTTTTAAAGCACAATGCTAAACCTGAGCTGCAAACAGCTCTGACTTCCTGGGCTCTCGGACAAGGATATTTGCTTCAGGCTTCATGCAAAGTAGATGAAACCTACCCTTTTCCCAGGTATTACACAGCCTGGTTTTGGTTTTCTGACACTGACCCACAGGATCTGGTGCTCTATCAGTAGAGATGCTCACAAAAATACTTTCTTTTAAGGCCTCAAGTGTTCTATAAACCTATTATTCTCTGCAAGGGGGTGAATTTGTTTCCTGTGTTTCAATAGTTCCATTCTTTGCTTCTTAAGTGATTGAACAAACTTTTATATGATTTCTCCCATTTATCTTTGTGTTATTTAAAATCCCTGGATGTTCTCTGATTATTTTCCTCCTTGCCACACTACTAAGTAGGTACCTGTTATGACAACTAAAAGAAAGTGGATTCCCTTTGGAGTCTGCTATTAAGCTGGTTTCATTCCATTAATACAATATTTCTTCCTGGGAAGTTTTTTACACTAGAAGATCAAGCCAGTTGCAAATGAATTTGTTGCAGTGACTCAGGGGGAGTCTGAGTTAATTAAATCCATTAAGTAATTGCAGAGTTATTTCCTTGCAGTCACTAGATGCAGAGTGCTGTCCTCTTTCAAGTGTAACTGTGGGTTGAAAAACGGAGAGCTCTGAAGCTTCTGAGACTCACCTTAAATAACATTTCCCAGCTGAGTGGATACCATTGTTGTTCTCATTAGGCAGACTCCAAGCTGTGTCCATTAAATCCCTGGTAAAGTTGCCCTAAGTGCCCACCTTTCTGGCAGTAGTTAATTGTTGCCCCACTCATATTTTGCCACTTGAATCCCACAGATTGCCACTTGAATTCCACAGGACTTCTGACATCAGTAATATGGAAGGGGCCCCGATTAAAAAGGATCAAGAAGTAGTCAGTTTTTATCCAGAGCCATTAGGACTGAGCATACGCTTGTTGGGTTGTACAAATAGCCAAGTCAGATATATTTGCTTCAGGACTGGCACAAAGAGAGCACTGAGAATCCAACAAGGTACGTGGCAGTGTTAAATGTTGGAAGACGAGTAATGTTCAGTTTCTGGTGCTACTTGAAGGGTAGGGAGAGCTAAAAAATCCAACTCTAGCTATGTATCATGAGCACTTTGAACTAAGAAGTTCAGTTCCCCTGACCAGAAGAATCTGCTCCATCTAATTCATGTCTAATGGAGACTGACAGCACTAGATAAACATTAATGAACTGTTTGCAGTGCAGGCTCCTTGGGGCCAGGGGCTTACTCTTTCTCTCCTTAATGTAGGGAGGCAGCAGGCTGTCACTTGATGAATACTAGTGATTCTCATTACAGATCTAAATGTATTCTGGCCCCCTGTCACCTTCAGTCTTACTGCTCTAGATTGTGAATGCAGGCAGGCTGATTCACAAAACCCAGGCTCTGAAAAGCATTGCCATGTTGACCAGTAACTGAACCCACGTTGTTCTGACTGCTGTGCATCTTTTCAACAGGCTGCTTTTTGTCTGGGTTTTTGGTTTAGAGGATATTTTTTTTGGTTGTTTCTTCCCTTCCTCCTTTATCATATCATCTTTTGATGTGAATTTGTCTTTTCTGGAAGGAAGTTGGAGTGCTTTACATGGCTTTTGCCGAGGAAGAAGGTGGTGTATTAATATGGCAGGAATTAGTACTGTGAATTTGCATGAAACAACAGTGGTCTTGCAGGTTTGCAGCAGAGTTCCTCAGCTGCTTGTATTGCATGAACTGGACTTGAGATTATCCCTGCATCTTTTTGAGTCACACATCCTCCTGAACAGCAGGGTGCAATTTATCTTCATGTTACCTATCCAGCTTCTTGACCTTTATTGTTCTGGTATCTAGGTTCCACAATTGTTAATAGATTATATCCTTATAGCGGCCTGGTGAGATAACTATTAATTGCAATCCCTATTATTCTTAGTTCAGGAGGTCATCTTTTGGGAATAATTAACCTGCCCAAGGTTACAGAAGCTTTTTGTGGGAGAGTTAGGAAGTGAAACTCGGCTGTGGAATCCCATTCTAGTTCCCTGTCCCCCTAAAATTATGTGTAAGCTTGATGCAAGACAAGTTCTTTCTGCAGAACTAGTTGGGAGACATGGAAAGCAAGACTCAGAAGACTCTTTGCAGTGCTGTGGTACTAACCCATTACTGGTAGTATTTCTCCCACTAGGTCTTTGCTTACTTTCTGCTCTATGAGAGCACGCTGATCACACTTTACCTCTGACTCTGTGCTAGGCTTTGCCAAGGGAGGGAGGGAAGGGGTAGATCTCAGATACTCTACCATTCTCCATGTGGTTCCTCTCTATGAAGTTGCGGCCAAGGTCTGCCTTGCAGATCTTCTCCACGTGCCTCATGCAGACATTTAGGAGGTCATCTCTGAGGAGTCCCATAGATGGGCTCATGCTCTCCCCTTCGAGCAGCACACTGTATGTTGGAAGAGATGGAGGGGGGACGTAATTCCGCATCAAAGCACCAAACTCCTGCCAAAAAGAAGGGAAGAGAGGTTACTGAGGAACATAAAGAGCTGGAGGCTAGATCCTAGGAAACTGGCTAAGGTTAGTCTCCAAATAGTATGAAGTGCAAAGGAGAACAGGGAAGATGGAGGGGGCAGACAAATGTTCTGCCTGTGAGCTCCAGCCACCTACAAAAGCACCAGGAGGTGGCATGCAGAGGCTCATTCTTCACCTACCAGAGCAGAGACAGCTTTGAATATCAGGGTAGGTTCCTGCTGTAAATGTGCATTGAACTGGTGGAGATTAATGCATCTTACACCAGCTTGGGATTTGTCTTTGGGACAAATACTGTCTTCACAGAAAGAAAACTAAACTGAGATCTTGGTTACCTGCAGGAAGAGCACGGAGTCACTGATCTGGTGGATCTGCTCCCTGTTCTCCTTGTCTTCCCGCAGAAGCTTTGCCCTCTCTTCCAGCTCATCCACGATTTCTTTCACGTTCTCTGATGCAGTCTTCTCCCTCTGATCCAGGGCAGCCTTCACTTCATCCCTCTGCCTCTCCAGGTCACGGATCAGCTCTTTGAAATGCTGGTCCACTGTTGCTTTCTCATTGGTGGTGTAGTTCTGCAGAGGGAAGGGTCAGAGAGAGGAGGCAGCAGGAAAGAGGCAGGAGAAATAACGTGTTAAACTTCTCAGGGAGTCATCTGACAGAGGGAAACAGAGTAGGGGAGATATGTCCAAGCATTCCCATTTAGACTGTGACTACAGAGACTCTGGGTATGTCAGTCTCAGCACCAGAGAAGTAATACTTGTTCTTGCAATAATTGCGTGTATGTAATCTAAAGGGCACGCTGTCTTCCTGATTTATAATCAGAGCATATATTTCAGTTCCTGAATTGCACTCCTTGGTGATATTTAAAACCACTGTTTAACTTTCTAAATCATGGTTCTGGCTCCTCAAGAACTTGAGGACCAAATTCCCACCGTTGCCAAGGGTGAAAGGTGCTAAAACACTTCTTACAAACCTCACCTCTAGGTCCCTCTGAAACATCCCTCAGAAGGACTGTGAATGTAACTCTGTTCAGAGTTAAAATTTCTAGGTCAGGTTTCCAATAATAATAACAGTAATAATAGTAATAATAGTCATAATCGTAATAATAGTAATAAAGCAGACGAAAAGCAGAACTGGCAAGACAATGTACGTGTACCACATAAAAGGGAGAAGAATGGCTTTGCTTATTAATGTTATGCAGATTTTCTGGGGTGTCTTCAAATTGTGTTTTCACTCCTCCATTCAGTTAGGGTATAAATGACAAAAATAACACCACGACTATAGTCCAACCCTTAGCGTGATGAAAGAATTATAATAGAGCCCTGTATCTGTATGGAAATGAGCTGTTCCACCATAAATCAGGTGTTTGCTGGTGTGACTGCATCTTTTCTTGTTGCCTTATCTCTGTTTGGGCAATCCAGAACCCCTCTGGAGTTGGTTTGTGTGTGTGGTCTAGCAGCACACCTTTGTTTCCGAATCAGCCTGGCTACCAGTGATAGAGCTCTAAGGGGCCGAAAGCAGGGAGGTGCCTTGGATCGTTTTGTAACAAGGCTCTGCTGCCTCTTCTTGATCTCCTGCAGGGTATGTTGCAATGGTAATTTAGTAGGAGTTGTTGTTTCCAAGACTTGGCATGAGTGAATTTTGGAGAGTGATGAGAGAGAGTGAGGATAAGGGATGGAGTGAATAAGAGCTGGCTATGTCAGAGAAATTGGGGAAAGGAGGAGAGGGATGTGAGAGAGTGGAAAAGAAAGCGACAAGTACAGCAGAAAGAGAGATGTGAACTGAAACAAATATCCCATACGCACCTTGATGCGGTCTCTCTCCTTCTGCCACTTGTCGATTTCATCTTCTACCTCAATGATCTTCAGCTGCAGTTGCTCTTTCTGCAGTGAAAGCTCAGCCTGTGAGGAGAGGAGAGTCTCATGAACTGGGGCTGAGGGTGGCCTGCTTCAAAGATGCTCTGCTCCCACTTATGCATTTGGCCCTGAACAACAACAGCTGGGAGGTACAGGTTCCTGGCACTGCTTGAAATGGAGATCATGTGCTGACACTGGACAGCATCCCAGAGCTTCTCGCTGGGTCAAGACATTCAGCTCCCTCAGCAAAGACAGCAGCAGAAGCACCCACCTACTAGGCTACCGTCATGGTGCCGCTTTTAATCACATTAGAGTCATTAGCTGGAGGGGGAAGAGGCCTGTTTCAAAATTCAGCTGTGTATGCAGTGAAGGGCCCATCCCAGGGTGTGCCTCTGCAGCAATAACAGTTTTCATGTAATTACGGAATGACGTTTGACGGGTGTTGCAACAAGAGGACGATGCCTCCGGCAGGAATTCTGTTTAGACAGGATTGTGGATTAATTTGCTCTGAATTGAGAGCTTTCATGTTATGATGAAGCTGGGGAATGCTTGGAAAAAATAAAAAACAGAGAAGGAGGAGGGAGGAGGTGTAGTCAACCATTGCTTGGCTTAGATCAGCAACTTCACCGGGATTCATTTGCATTTCGTTTTGCACCGGCTTCCCAGAGAAGCTCAGACCAGACAATTGCATGCAAGGCAGTTCATAGAACTGGAGCCCATGGAGGGCTGGGCAGCTATGCACTGATGTAACATGCCGGGTGGTGTGCATGCCATGTCTCTGGACATTACTAAACAGGAGCTGGCTGTTTGGTAATGCCTTGCGCCGTTAACTCTGGGCAACCCCTCCCTCGGTCGTTCACATTCACCACGTCCCTGCCCAACAGATCATGACAAAGCCTTTGTTTACGCATTTCAAGACCTTTCTGTGTTTCATGTGTGTACAGGTTGGTCACAGCACAGCTGTAACTACAGGCAATCTGGCAGTGGAGCACTTCTCCCAAGAGCTGTTTAGGAACTATGCAGTTTGCAGGAATTACCTGTGCTCCACGACCGAGCTGGGTCGCATTGGGAAAGTCCTGCAAACCTGCTGTTCATGTGGGATCCTTTGGCAAATGGTTGTATTACCCAAAAGCACTTACATTTAGGCCAACAGTTAGAGGCAAGGGAGATAGGGATGGATAAATCCACTCCTGCAGCAAGTGACACAGTGAGGTCTCCCTGCGGTTAAAACACAAGTGGTAGTTCCCACCGCTTTGCTGCCATTCAAGAAGATAGCACAGCATGAAAACCTGAGGCTTCCCTTGGGGTGGGAGTTTTCAGGTTTTCAGTTCTCCATTCAAGGAGTAGAAAACAGCACCACACGATGAAGAAAAGCATGCAACAAGCTGTCAAACAGCTCAGACCAAGGAAATCAGCCCATCAGGGCTCTTGTCTTGGTGCCATTCACCATAGTGTCTGAACATCCTCTTAAGTTTGAATCATGCACAGCTGCATCTGAGAGCCATTGACTTTAGCTGTTCCAATTTAGCAAAATCTCTATTTATAGAGGGAAAACAATCTGATAGTTGTTGTATTGCCTGATAAAACAAAAGCAAGGGGGAACAAAAAAGGCAAATGTACTCAAAGGTATCTCAGTGCCAGAAGAGCTGCATCCTCACATTGCCGTTGTGATTGTCCTTGTTTGTGGAGAGCACTGGCCCTCGAAATACTCTCCATACACCCTGACAGCCTTCAACAGTCAAGTAAATACCATGATGAGCTGAAGCTCATATTCTACAGGGGTTCAGAGAAGATGGCATTAATTGTTAGCAAAGTAAAAAGCGCATCTCCTGGGCAATGGGAGGTCTTCCTTCCTCCTCATCCCTAAATATCAGGGCATTCCTACTACAAGAATATGAGTGAAATCATACAGAGGAGGAGTGGAGGAATTTTTCTGAGACACTCTCAAACACAGGGATTTGAAAAGAAAGGTAACAGGATAAAGAATCAGGTGGTGGATGGAAAGATGTTGATAGCAATATTATGCTGTTATAGTAATTTTTAATTAAGATGGGTATCAAAGGAGTTTTGTAAACTATTACTTGCTCAAAAGTGATGCTAACTCCTAACTTGCAGTTATAATATCCCTTCACCCAGAAAGGCAGTTTGGGTGCCTCTGGGATGGGATGTAACAACTATTTAAGAGACCCACACTACCATTTAGAGTGAGAATTGTGATTTGCAAGTGGAAATTACAGAGGTAGTTCCAATACCCAGAATGCAAACACCACAGTCACCCAGGTTCAACATGGGTTAAAACGCCCATAATGAGGGCAAAAGGAAACACTAGCACAGACACCAGCAAGGGAGGTGTTCCATTGCACTGTAGTACAAACATTTAAACTAGCCTAAGCATAAAAGATGCTAAAAAGAGGCTCAGGGAGGCTGTGGAATAGTGCAGGAACTGGTGATGTGGGTACAAGGAGGCTTATTCAGTAGGGGTGCTCTAGAAATGGACCACAATATAAGGGGTTAAGCGAAAGTGATGTTTTTAAGGCCTTGATCAGTCTGGCACTGGTTGAAAGATTGCTTTGGCTGTCCATGCACATCCTATGTTACATTTACAATAGGCTGGCTACAGGTACTAGGTATTGTCCACTTCTCCACTTTATTCCCTATCAAGAAACTTCTCTCGCAGTTTCCTTCATATTTCTCAGATTTTCCAGGGTCAAGAACTCCTGATCCCCTTATGTGATGGACCATCCAGAACAAATCCATTGGGTGAGACCTGGTGTTCAGGTGATGATCTAGCACCTCCACCCACTGTAAGTGTAGAAGTAACAGTGAAGAAGCTGTAGGAAATACCGTTTTAGAGCATTTGGTTTGACTACAGCAAACTGGCACTGAGAGTCTTTGAGCTAAGAGAGAATCCTCTGTAAGAGTCTAGGTTAATTAGGACAGTCAAGAGGCCTAAGTGAAAGTTCAGAGTGTACATCCACAGCTGAACCCAGCCCTTGTGCTGTAAAGGACCTAGAGATTATGGGTCTTGCATCACGATGTGACTCATTTTTGCAAGGCAGCAATACAAGCATCATCATGCCTTAATGCTCTGGGAACCCAGGCCTTGAATCAGGGAACACCCCTGTGTCACCAGCCTGGGAGAGCTATGCTAATTACCTGACAGCAACAACCAGATGCAATAATGAAGCTAGAGAAGTGTTTAAACCAGTTGCCCTAATACAGGGCTTGTATTAGAAATTGCACGCTGAGAAGTCAGCAAGTTGTTTGGGACGTTATTTCTGCTGCTTTTGCCATTGCAGTTTTCTGTCTAAGCTTTTGTTAAGCAGAGGTGGGTGTCAGGGGGCTACAGTCTCTGTAGACTCTGCCAGCATCCTGCATTAATGCCACTAGTCACGACATGAGCGGAGGCCAGGAAAGGCTCTCTGCTTTGCACCGTTTGAAGGGAATTCCTTAATGACAAACTGGTGGGTTTCCCCTGTGTTCTGCCCTATCTGCAGTGGCACTAATGCAGAACGCAGGCAAACAGGCAGATCAGTTGGCAGCAGGTCAGCTTCCCCAGCCTTCCAGCTAGGAAGAACGTCCTGCAGGTAACTTGCACCATCACTGTGGAAAGAGCATCTACTGTAAGCTGTGTCCACACAGCAACCACAACTTGTGTAGATAAGGTCTCATGGCCACATCGTGCCCCTAACCTTGCATCAGTGAGAAGGGCCAACACACTCGTGTTTGCTCTCTATTCAGACAGTGAAAGCAATACAGAGAGGGCTCAGATGGAAATCCCTCTGGGTGCATGTCTGTGGATGGTTGACTCCAAAGCCCAAGTTGTGAATTCTCCCCTTTTAAAAGTGGCTTTGTTGAAAGCAGGAACACCCAGGTCCCTTTTCTGCAGAGCAGTTCTCTGCTGCCTCTTTAAACCTGCTCTGCAATGTGAACTTTGCTTTCAAGGTAAAGAATTAAGGAAGAGAATCAAAGTGCTTTTCACTAGAACTGACCTGACGTGCTGAGTACTAAGGCTGGTGCTGGATAGTAAGGACAGGTTATTTACAGCTCTGTGACTGGCAGGCATATGTGAAGTTGTTTCATTTTGAGCTTAGGCCTGTAAAACAGGTTTTGAATGAAGGATCCCCTTTCAAAATGAAGGATGCTGTCCAAAAGGGGGGCTCTGGCTCTGCTGATAAATCAAGCTGGCCAGAGGGTTTTATTTGGGTGTACAAGCTGCTATTGACAGTTTCCACTTTTCAGCTGTGTGTGTGGTTATTACCCAGCCTCACAGCCTTTTTCTTGGTTGTCTCTTGTGCTGATTCTGGTGGGGGTGTTCCTTTGCTTCTAAATCTGTAACAGGAAACTAATGCAAAGTGGCTCTGGGGAAGGCATTAAGGGTTTGCTGGGTAAAAAAAAACACAAATACCATTGTGTGGAAAATCAGGAAAAAAAAGACTGGGATTCCCTGCCAAGCTGTCTCTGACCCCCTGTGCCTTTCACTCTTGTCTTGTCAGCACAGCAGGAAAAGGGGGATGAGTGCCTCTTACCCCAGGCTCCTGAAAAGTGGAATATGCTGCTGCATTCTCCCTCTGTCTCACAGACAAAAATCAGTCTTTCCACTGCTTGCCTAAATGCTCTAACTAGTAGGTGTCTGTTTACTGGCTTGTTTGCATTCCTTTTCTCTTAAGCTGTACTGTCTCTGTCTGCACTGTGGAGCAAGCAGAGTTACCTAATTTTACACAAGGATCTTAAACTATCCCTTGCTTTCCCAACCCTGAACCGAAGCACCTTTCTTCCCTACAGGCCCTATAACAAAGGTAGACTCATGAGAGAGACTGTAACCTGCATTAATTCTGCCATATGAAAGGAATAGATCTGCCTAAAACAAGCTTGTTACACCTTATTACGTGACAGTTTTGTGCTGAGCACCCAGATTGAGGGTTAGGCTTAGGTGCATCGCAGCACACACACATACGTCCCCCCACACCAAGTTCTGCTGGAATCCTCTCCAGGTTTGGAGTTGCAGCACGGCCAAGGACTGGGAAACCTTTGCAGATAAACCTATTGTTCCTTGACAACCCACACTGTGTGAAAGGGCCTCTGTAGATAACGCTGTGTTTTGGTCACCAGCCAGGGGTACAGTTAGCGAATTTGGAGGTACTAAAGCTACCCTAGAGATGCTTGGATGCAAGCTGTAAAATGGGTCAAGGACGGGGGTGACCTAGAGTGGGGTTTTCGTTTGTTCTTTTCACAAAGGCCAGCAGCACCAACCATACTTTGCCACTCTTCCAATTTGTGGTCGCATCCCGGTTCAGCTGATTTGCAAGACTGGAAAAGAATAGGTGGGGGGAAAAAAGGGACTTGGAAATGTTCATTCCTCTTTCTGGTTCTTGCTAAGGCTCCACCTAGGGTGAATAAATCGGGGCTAGGAATAAACATTTGCAAGCAGCAGCTATCCTGCTAATTGTTTTTGTCTGAGTGAATACTCAAGTCACAACATGATCAAAACTCGCTGTCAGGAGAAACTTGCACATGTGTATGATTCATGTTGATAAAGCCCTAAATCCTTTAGGCTTAGCAGCAGCAGAAACAGCAAAGGGCAGCACAGGAACTGAAGCATGGAGCTAACAAGAATGGCAAAAGGATTCTGAGAAAGAGATCAAACATCATTTAAATCTTAGGTAAAGCCCAGCTCCTTTAAGAGCAAGGTGTTCTAGGTCCATCCAACCACAGGAAGAAGGCTGTGACTAGCTCTGGTTCCTCAGGGAGCAGCTGTTAACTTCGGTAAAACAGCTAAGAGGAATTGGACGACCTGGCAGACACCAGACTCAGCTTTATGAGAGTCAGCATATGCTATGTTGAGAGCCGACATCAAAAACACAAGAATAAGCAATTATGAAACAAACAGCAGGCTAGCGAGCCCTGCAGGAATTTCTTTATGAAAGACTGGTTGAGACATGGAAGAAATGTTGTCTGGTTTCAGTAAGTCTGCAAGTTGGAGATGACATTGCAAGAAGAGACAAAATACGTGCACAGGAAGACGGAGGGAAGCTCTGCAGAAGGTGTTATTTCAGCCTTATGACATACATCTTCCTACCACCTTAGAGAGAGTTCAACCCTTCTTCCAAGTTAAGGATAACTCTGGAATTTCTAGTAGCGGGCACTTTTATTTGCCTGCTCACCACATCAGAGCGCTGTGCCTAAGAGTAGGGTTTAGCAGATCTTACTCAGTGCCCTTCCAGTTTCTGTCGTGGACTGGCTGTGTGACTCTAGGCAAATTGGTTTACATTAGCATGTCGTGGGGTTCCTTTCTGTAATCTCTCTTGTCCTGTCTGCTTAGAAGGTTTTTAAGCATGCTCTTACTATGGGGATGTACAGCACCAAACACGGTGAGACCCTGATCCTTACTACATCTAGTGGACTAATCATATGTCCACCCAGAAATCAAACAGCATGAGACTTGAAGCAAACAAAGGTGGAAGACTTGATTAGTGAGCACTGCCCCCCACACCAGCCTCATCTCCTTTGATATCCATCTTCTAAACCTATTTTAGTAACATGTCAGAGGAAGTTACAGAGTTTTGTATTTGCACCTAAGCTTCAAAATACTCTTCCCATAGGTGCTCTTGGCACTACTATATCCAGAACAGAAGAGAAAAAACAAACACCCATCATCTCATTCTAAGTAGCTGAGATGGCGATTTCCAATAGTAACCTAGCAGCCAGTAGTAATTTTAGCAGCCACCCCTCCAGTTACCTGCATTCTGGAGGTCCCGAACTTGAGCCGTGCCCACATTTCTGGCTGTGCGGATCACTAAGCAAAACTTAGCACGTTGGGCTTTGCTTCAGCTTCTGCTGAAAGTCAGTGCTGCAACCAGGGGTGGAAGCCAGGTTCTCCACCCCGTCAGTCCAGTGCTATGCTGCTGTAACCAGCCATTAGAACAATGACCCCATGGCAGCAGAACCGAGGCAATACCCATTCTCCAGTAAACACTTCCCATCCACCACCCCTGCATCCCAGAATTACATTGCAGACATGATTTGAGGAGAGACTGGAAAGCAAAAGCTGTGGTGTAATATTGAGGTGCATTGGAAAGACTGATGGCAACGTGCAATAAAAAGAGCATTACCTCTTTTCCTGCTTTCTCGATCTCCACTGTCACTGTGCTGTGGTTCTTGTGCTCTTGGAACATGCAGAGGTAGCAGATGCACATCTGGTCCGTCTGACAGAACAGCTCCATGGTCTTCCCATGCACAGGGCATTTTCTTGCTTCAAAGTCCCTGATGGGGTCCAGGAGCTGGTGGTCCCGGAAAGCTGCTCCCTCCAGATGGGGCTTGAGGTGCAGCTCACAGAAGGAAGCCTGGCACACCAAGCAGGACTTCACAGCCTTTTGCTTGTTATCAATGCAGGAATCGCACAGAACATCCTCGAGCTTCACCCTGGGCCGTGACCCGGCTGCTCTGTCAGGCTTGTTGAAGGGGGGTCTTCTCAGGTCGCCTGTCTCTACCAGAGGGAGGGAAGTTTTCTTCAGGTCCCCCATCTGCCCCCCAGAGAACAATGACTTCCTCCCTTCCCCTTCGCTAGGCAGGAAGCTCTTTTTGGAATCCAAATTGAAGAGGGACTTCCTGAGATCGCCCTTCTCTGCAAAGGAGAGCGGTGGTCTCCTCATCTCCCCTATCTGTCCACTGGCATATTGCATCTTCTTTGAATCTGCCGAATCCATGCTGAAGTAGGTTGATCTCTTCTCGTCAGACGACTCCACAAACTGAATGATGGGCCTCTTCCAGTCACTCCCGGAGAAAAGGGAGCTCTTGATTTGCCCTGTCTCCAAAGATGCGCTGCCGGTGCCCTTCAGAGCTTCCTTCTCGCCTCCACTAGCGTTTGTGTTCTTCTTCACTTCTTCTTCCTTTTTGGGGGCAGATGGGCTCTTCACATCCTCTGGCTTCCCAGTGGTACCATTTGTCCTTGCTGCGCTCCCCGTTTCCATCGTCTGAACAGGGCAAATGAGCTTCACCACTTAATCTATCCTCCAGTTCCTGCCTCTCAGCCCCAAGTGGGTATGTCTGCCCAGTCGTTGTCTCAGCAAGGAATGACGATAGAATGCTGGAAAGTTTCTGCCCAAGTGACGCACCTGGAGCTCCAGCAGGGAGGAGGAGAACGCCTGGATTATGTTGGGGAGACGCAGGGAGAAAGAAAGAAGTTACCAGGGATCAGAAGCTACAGCTGTGCAGTTAATTATACAAGGCAGTCCACACCCAGGAACATTCTTGTCTAACCAGGTTTGGGAGGAAGGGCTGTTTATATACATAGAAATGTGTTGGGTTCTTTAAAAATCGTTTTCATTAAGATGCAGCAACCAGTTCGACCGCTTGTTTCAAAAATAAGTTTGCTCCTTGTTGCCAGGAGCTGAGGTTACCTCCTCGCAGAGATGGGCAGGGTCGGAGAGACCATGAGATGCAGAAGATGGGTTTGTTAACTGGGTCATACCCATGCACAGAAATAATTATGGCTGTAATTAAAATGAACGCCTAGAATAAAGCATTCTTAAACTCGATTCCCCTGAGGGCTTACTGCATTCAGTAGGACAGGGAGGGGAAACACAGGGATAATACTGGGTTTAAAAGACCCTATTACCTTTATATTTATTTTGATGTTGGGTTTGTGCAAGGTCCGTCCATCCAGACCTAGAAATAACCCAACCAGAGAAGAACACAGCCTGACCTGAACTTAAAATGGGCTAGTGCTGTTTTTCCCACAGGCCATGTAATCTCCACTAATGTGATGAGTAGAATAAAACCCCCCATTCCCTATTTCACTGTATGGTCTCGCTGAGGGAAGGGTTCAGGTGTATCTGATGTAGCTCTTCCCATAAATGTCTACTGAACTGAGACACACCTGTAACGTACCTGGAAGGAGAAATATTTTACAGCTAAAGAGGCAAAAAATATTTCTTGCAAGAAAAAAGAACTGGGAAAGGGTTTTAAAAATAGATTTGTCTCCAGTAGCTGTATTCCTGGGAAATGTTCAACTTGTTGGACTCACAGAAGATTTCAGAAGAAAAGGCTTCTTACGAGCACTGTGAATGCCATCATCTTGAAAAGAAGGAGGTTGATCTTCCACTCGTATCGTATCAATTTAGCATAGATTATGTTCTGAATTTCAGAGAGATTGCTCTGAGATTAATGCCCTGCCTGTAAATTAAGCATGCCTAAGATTTATGCTTAATCTAATTGTCACAGAATGCAATGGTGGTGTTGCTGGAGAATATGATTTTCCGGCTTTAATAATGTCTCCTTTTAAACCTGTAACAAAAGCCTGGCTGGAAGTGTCTGAAGTACTGGAGGTAAAAAGCCAGGTTTACATTTAGCACCACTTTTTGAGGTGTGGAAGAAATAGAGGTGCAACCCCAACCAAGAGCAGCATACATTTTGGGTCTGATATGAGAATGAGATAGCCAGGAAGCGCCTGTCTAACAGATCTAGTTTCTAAGGGCTTTGTGCAAAAAGAGATAAGGAAAGAGAAAACATTCTCCTCTTCAACAGAAATGTGGTTGGGGCCCCTGGCTCATAGATCCTGTCCCTCTCACAGGCTGTATGTCATTATAGCTCTCTATATATGAGAAATGATTGAGTATACAGTGGTTTTTTTGGATAATAGTTGTTGGAAAAGGCCACACCTTCTTCAGTAATTTCGAATGGAGAGGTTTTTTATTAAGAGGACCATAGTCTTTTGTGAGTCATTCCTCATTCTATGGCATAGCAAAGGGCAATGCTACTTTTTCAAAACAAATTTCATACAAGGAAGGCATTGATTGACAGTCACGTATTTCTTTCCCCCAGCTTCCTGGGCTGAGCTGATCTTCATAGCATTAACAGTCCTGTAGATCTCCAAGTGATTAAAAACCCTGGAGGGTGGAGCTGCCTGTTCTCATGTGTACAGAAGAGAATCAGCAGAGCTTTTCCAAACTAGCATTAATACTTAAGGAAGAAAAACAGCTAAAACTTAAGACCTTATAAAATGTCTAACTTGGAAGAAGGTGGCCTTGATTTCTCTTGTTTTCCTGGCAGGAAAGATTGTGAAGATTTTGGAATAGGCAGTCAAAAGATTAAGGACCGAATTTTTTCATCTTGGTTTTACTGATGCAAATCCAGAGTAAATGAGTTTAATCCTGTTACTTGAGGCAGGCTTGGGAGTATCTGGACCCAGGAGGAGGTTAATTATTGATTCTCCTGTCCATGCAGAGGCACATATAGCCTGGCACCCTGCAGTAAGTCAGGTTATGGCTGTGCTTTGCCTGACCTACCCTGATGCCAGCCACGGTATTAGCTCCTCCATTTGTCACAGTACTGGTGAAGTATGGCCATGCTTGAGATGTAAGATGTTGTAATGTTTATCATCTGCTGCTCCAGTCAGAATCAGATGGGCTGTTGTCTGCCTTTAAAACATTTGGTATGTTCCATAAAGTTGCAGGTCCTTCTTTGGCTTTTGAAGGGGTGGCATCTGTCCTTGCTGTTTAGTTTTGGAGTATCCTCAGCTTAAATGCTGTGTCAGACAGAAAGAGGGAGGTTGTACATATCACACACGCAGACTAATGCAGCCAAGTGCGAACTGGATTCCTTGAAGGTCTCCCACCCCCTTTTGGCCTCCCATGGCATGTCAGCCTCCCTCCGCCTGTCATCCTCCCAGCCCTGTTGTCCTCTCATCCCCTATCAGTATCAGGGACACTTTCACTGGTCCCCTTTTACCCTCAGCTCACTCTCAAGCATCCCGCGTGCCTGGAATTAGTGCCTTGGGCATGTCCTGCTTGCAAATACCTGTGACAGCGTGGCAGGCCCACATGTGACCAGCAAGAGCTAAGTGCATCACCTCTGCTGCCACTCACCCTGCTACTTTGATCTGTAGCCAAAGGCCAAGCCCACCTTTTCCCCAGCCTCTTTCTGCGCTTCATCACACCTTATCGTGGTGGTTTTTTTCATGACAAAGGACTGTTTGCTCATGTCTCTCTTGTTATTTCTGGCCTGGGAAATCTGCTGTTCACGCCTGTCTGAGATTTGAGGAGCACATGGTGCTTGCAACCACTGCCACTGCTGGCTAACTCTGCCTGGGAATCACAGGAGGACTACAGCAGTTAAAGGGCAGTTTGTTAGTTAAAGGGTAGTTTCTCAGACAACCTGTGCTTCGGTTCCCAACCCTATTTAGAAGACTTGTGCACACACGTGTATTTCAGGCAATTTAGAAGCCAAAGTACAGACTGGACGTTCCTTTATTGTAGGCTTTATCTTTCCGCCTCCCGGAGGGAGGTTCCTGATTTCTGTAGCATGAGTTCACACTTGTGTAAGCATCTTCTGTGATTTCTGTGCTAGCTATCCCTACTTTTCCCGCAGAAGACAACTGTCTCCTATCTAGTGCACTGCGTCAAGCCGATCACACAATATGCCCATGTCTATGCCTCTGACTCAGAGCATCCACCCACGTTTGGCATCTGCAGTGCCTTTCATCTGAAAAAATCGGAGCGTTTTTCAAAGGTTCACAAATTAAACTTGACAACACCTTCACAAAATAGGTCTGGGTTGCTAACCCCATGGAGCAATTAGAGAAACTGAGGCATGGACTGTGGAACCGCCTGAAACGGTTCAGGGAAAAAGTGACACTTTTTTTTTTGCCTGAAGTTGCTATGCAGCCTTTTTGTTGGTTCATTCTCTTATTTCTCATGCTTGTGACCCCTTTAAATCCTCGGTATGTTTTTGCTGATGCTTTTGTTCTTGTTTTGAACCTGGGTTCTTTTTTCATTGTTAACCAGTAAGTTTAAGTACTTTATTGCTTGTACTCAAGTGTTTCCATTGTGTGATGTGCTCACAAAAATCTTCGTGGCTAGAAAAAATTTCCCCAGGATGGAAAAAGTGAAAATATTGGGTCCATTTCAAACTAAATAGAATAGAAACAGTTAAGCCAAGCCTGGGGCACTCCTTTAGACAGGCTCCGGAGCAGAGTTTCAAACGCCAGTGACTGATGAAGTCATGGGGAGTCACAGAGAATTAGATCAACCAGCCCGTGATTCACTGGCCCTGGTTCTCACAGTAACTCCAACCAAACTAGGAGCAGGGAACCTGCCTACTAATTGCCTTCTCTGTGCTCTACCCACTAATCCACACTGCCTTTCACATCCTACATATTTTCAGTCCTTTCTCATTTCTTGCACCTTTATATAACACAAATCCACAGCCCAGAAAATGGTGTGCTGGCTATTCCTGCTACAAGAAAACACAGGAAATCAACCCATCAAGCATGTAGACACCGTTGAGCAATGCCCATGCATTAACCAGCTCCCAGGGTAAGAGCAGAGCAGGCAAAACAAGTTCAAGGCTTCGTGTTGCTTTCACACGTATCACATTCAGTCAGCAATGCATCCAGATAGATCAGCAGAGCTACCCTGGTATATAGGGTTAAAAAACAATGCTGCAGGTGTGCTTAAAGCAGATCTACAGATACTCTCAGAGCTTCATACAGGTGATTTATAGAAGATAGACTCAATTTATATGGCATAAAATTACATTCAGGTACTTGTGACAACATGGGCTGACCGCCTTCATGTGATACTCAGCTGTGTGTTGCAGGGTAGGCGATGAAGGGAAGGAAAACAGAACCAAGTTGTTAGGGGGATGCATTTTCATGCTAGGGAGCATGCATTGAGAGCTCAGTGAAGATGGTCAGGACCTGGCTTCAGATACGAGGGTGTGAATTCTTAGGGTAGCATGAGCCTCTGAATAGCTCCTGCAGGGTACCATGACAGGACAATCACAAGCTTCCCAGGGCTTATATCAGGCCTGCAGGCTATGAGCTGGACCACGGGGAATCTTAATTATTGGAACAAGTTACAGGCACGATGTAAGTGCCCGTTGTGTAACAACGATACTCAGTGAGCGTGCAGGAGGAGGGTGAATCACGGAAGGAGTGAGAGGGTGTGTAACAGGACACAGGCATTAACTGGAGGATATGTGCTGCCTGGGGGAGGACCCCTTTCTAGTGGTTATGCTGAGTCTTCAACTTTGAAAGGGCTGAAGGGGAAAATGACTACTCAGCATTAAATTCGGAGGGAGGACAAGGAAGGGAATACCAGCTAAGGAGGAACATCTGTTTGAATCAAAGGGCACTTCTCATGTAAGATCAAGCAGGGTAAATCTGTTCATGTAAAAATATAGGCTAGAAATTAGAAGAAGATTTCTAGACATCACAGGGGCATAGCTCAGGCATGGCCTTTGAAACAGTCTTGGGCACCAGGATCTGAACTGTATTCAGCTTGCTGCAGTCATCAACACGTTGCCTAACTGTATGGATGATACTGCATGCCTTCAATGTGCTTACAAGGCTTGTTGCGCCATGTCCATTTTGGTTTTAATTCATTAATTAAGCCTGTGTTTCAAGGCTTCTGCTGGTTGCCTGTAGAGGCCAGGAAGGATTTCCTGCTCCCACCCCCCTTCTTTGATGATTAACTTGGTTTC